TGTATTCCACTCACGAACGATATAAGCACGAATGCATGAACCCCCTCTTTATCGACAAATAAACACAAATGACTGCGAACACAAAGCGAATCAAGTAAAAGAAACGTCGTGGGGAGAGCTCGACTAAGAGATACTCCAAAGAATCATCATGAGAAGTGAAAATTTTTTGAAGAACTTGAGCTAGCTCTGAAAAATGTCTTAAGAGAGAGGTTAACTGAGATCGTTATTTTCTTTGCACATATGCAAAAAATATATAAATATAAAGTTAGAAGAGCTTTCACAAGCTAAGTGAGATACATTGACCGTTATCTATATATACATAAGTATATAATTCTAACATACAAATGAAACATTTACTGTACTGAAACAGTCTGACAAGTAAGATCAAAAGGATTATTAGAACAGATATCGATCAAGTTTGTAGACTGAAAGAAGTTATCGATTAGTATGTGCAGAAGTGATCGATCTACACGCATTTATAATAGAAGAATGGAAATATTTATATATATATATATATATATATATATATATATCAAATACTTGGCCAGTACCAATGCTCTTAGATCTTAAGAACATCTCTTAGATATTGAAGCAAATACAGTCTTTCATACTTCATATACATATATATAGAATATGCATGCAATATCCCCGTTCCGCTACAGTGTGTGCATAACAAATGGATGACATCAATTAAATTTTTAACAAGTTCTCAGTCAATCGCATGCAAATGAAACTTGAATACCAAATGCCGATATGAAAAAGCAGTCAAAAAACGAAAGAAAATATAAAATTATATTTAGATGTATATATTTACATATTGCTTAAGACAAGTTCTGAGAACATCTTGAAATGAAATGGAGTGACCAAATGGCATATCAGATGATACGCTGACACCCGATACTTGAAATCATATATTGAACAATTCGAATATCGATATCAAGAATGAGTCACAAGAGCGATACAAGTTTTCGGCTTGTGGCTCGATTCCAATTCGTTTGCCATTCTTCAAAAGCAATTTTCGTGTCAATTCCATGCTGTTCCCGCACTTAAAGTGTTTCTCTCTCTTCATTTTTTTTTATACCCTGAACCCATTGAAAATGGGAAATCAGGGTATAATGGTTTTGTGAAAAGTATGTAACAGGCAGAAGGAATCATCTCAGACCCCATAAAGTATATATATTCTTGATCAGGACGACGAGCTGAGTCGATATAGCCCTGTCCGTCTGTCCGTCCGTCCGTCCGTCCGTCCGTCCGTCCGTCCGTCCGTCCGTCCGTCCGTCCGTCCGTCCGTCCGTCCGTCCGTCCGTATGAGCAAAAGGATCTCAGAAGATATAAGAGCTAGAGAGCTGAAATTTGGCATGCATACTCGTGTATACCATAGGCAGTACAAGTTTGCTTTATTTTTTCGATAACTTGTCCGATAACTTTTTTATCGAGAATAATCGAAAAATCGACATTGTTTTTTCAGCCTAATTTGAACACTTTTAGACCTGGAGACTTCAAATTTGCGTTGTATATAAAGTTAATAGATACAAAGATTTTGTAATTTACAGATTTTGGATACCACGCCCCCTTCGCCCCCAATTTGTAAAAAACGCATGTCAAGTACTAGAGACTTGTGCTTTGGAATGTACACACATTTTAGCCATATGATTACGCTTTAAAAGTTTCATTAGGATCGTATGTCTACAAAAGAAATTATTCAACAAATAAATTCTCATAATATTGCCCACACTGCAGTGCAGCCCAAGCGCGGCCGCTGCTAGCTGCGCAGTTTGCAGAGCGCGTGCTTATACGTGCATGTGTATGTATGTGTGCATAAAAGAGGTCCAGAATGATTAGAATATCAGTTTGGAGGGTTCAGGGTATCTCCTAGTCGAGCAGTCTCGACTGGAGCCTTCTTACTTGTTTTAATTTTTATTTTTTTGTTTCGTATCGGATTTTGGCTTGAGCACTAATGCGAATATCCATTAGTTTCGCGTTATTAACGGATTTTAATCAAAGGCCAACAAAGTTAATTCATGCTAAAAATAATGCATATTCAACGCGTCTAAATAAAACAAAAGCCACCGATCCGCTCTCAAGTCTTAAACAAAGATATAGGTATTAAACAAAAGTGTGCATATACTTATATACATTCCGGTATATACAAACACATATGCAGATTTCCGTTTGACTATTATCACTTTATTAGCACTCAAATTCAGGGAATACGAAAGTCATTTGTTGATCGCTAATTTTATACTTGAATAACTTAACTTTGCATTGTCTTGAAATGCCACAAAATCGAACCTATTTTGAATATATTTAAATTTGAGAAACTCTACTTGAATTATATACAAAACAAATTTGATAATTAAGATTATTATTTTGAAGCTGTTTTGATATTTCGTATTTGAGCTTCAAGATTTCTAGTTTGGCAACGTGTTTTGAAACTTTATGCAGATTATAGACGGGGGCACAGTATACCTACATATCTATAAATATATTCATATATATATATGTATGTATACTGCAGCAAAACGCCTACTTTTAGAACTTTTAAGCATGAGTAACGTGTAGGCTCAGGGCCACGCTCAAGTTCAGCCTTCAGCTGAAATATACGAAAGAAAAGTAGAAACGTTGCAGTTCCAATCAGACAATAAAGACTTTATAGTGAGTGTGTACTGTGTATACCTGTAACTCTTAGCCGAATCGAAAATGAAGTTTATTTATTGATTTAAGAAACTGCATTACAATTTTTTTTATTCGAGCCGTAAGCAAAAGTTGAAGAAACTTAAGCAAACAAATTTTTCACAATATATAAAGCAAATCGGATAATTCTTTTAGCTTGCATAAGCTGTCAACGCAAGCTAAAAGAAATTAAATTAAAGACATATTCTACATTTTTTCATTCTTCCAAAAATTTGCAATTTGAACAAAATTGAATGAAATATGAAAGATGAATTATTTAAAATTATAAACTATAAATATTGAAAAATTTTAAAAAATATTTGTATGAAAAGAACTAAAGAAAATACTTTAGTTAAACTACAAATTTGTAAACTAAAAACAAAATTAAAATTGATTTGTTATTTCGTTTCCAATACAAAATATTTCTACCCAATCGGAAAAGCAAGTTAAGGATTCAGACAAAAACAGCTTAAGCTCATATGCTCTATCTCCTTTTCTTCCCCTCCCTCCCTCTCCCTCACTCTTTCTCTCTGTGACTACTCGGGAACAGAACATCAATAGATTACAAGAATGTAAGCTTCTGGAATTAGTCGATGTAAAACATAACTTTGGGTGTTTTTCCGCTTTTAGTTCAGCCTTTTTTTTTTTGTCAGTTAGAAATTAATGTGTGTGTTTTGGGCGTGTGTCTGCCTGTCTGCGTTTTCTTCTAACAACATAAATTTAAAAACATTTTTTGAGGTTAATAATTTCGTTTGTTTAGCAGCTTTTGTGCGGTTGTTGTGACTGTGACAGTGACTGTGACTGTGGCTGAGGCTGCGGCTGCTTTTGTGTCATATGTAAATTTTAAAGGCACACACACATGATGCCGGCCATATAACATTGATAAATATCTATAGGAGCCTGTGTGTGTGTACAAAATATATTCAGTTTAAGGCAAGAAGAAGAAAGAGTAGCAGCAGTAAAACAGATAAAATAAAAAACAAGATTCTTTTGGCCTACGCAAGACAACGTCGCACAACAAGTTGTACAGGCTCATCGATTATGAATATTATTGAGAAGATATACGAGTATATAAACGACGACAAGTCCATACATACATACATATATACGACGACTAGAAGATACACACATATATACAATGTGAATGCCGTTGCTTGTTGTTGTTGTTGTTGCCCACTTTCCTATAGCACCAGTTTTTTTTTTCTTTATGCATATGCTAGGCATTTTAGCCATTATGACACAACAGCTAGCTGGGAATTGGAAATTTGTGTCTAAAAGTATGCCGTTAGAGGAACGCAGTCATGCTCCCCATGAGCATAAATATTAAGCATTCCAGTTAGCTTATGCTGTGACTGCGACTGCGACAGCGCTCCTTTCCCAATTCAACTCCAATTAGATTTTATGTTTAGTGGCGAAATAAATCCACTTGACACTAAATCTTCAGTTTATTACGTGCTCTTCGTGCTTTCTGATGGATAATCATCTCATCTCAGCCATAGCAAATGCCATATTTAAGACACACTTGACTGTTTAACACTAAGAGGATTCATTTGAACATTCTTATGAAGCTCTTAGCTGCAATTATTTAGCATTTTCATGTCATTTCTCTTGCTCACTTGAACTTGGAAATCTGAGTTCGCATTTCATTCCGAATGCATTAGCATTTATTTTTTTAAACAAAGTAGTTTTCCGTGCATTTTATATATTTCTAAAAGTTTGTTCTATACAAATTTGAACATATTTTTTTACACTTTTTTAATAAATTTATAATAGAAAATTAAAAAGAGAAATAACCTATATTTATAGTATATTATATATATTAAGCTTTTAAGTTATGAAAACAAAACAAGTAAGAGTGCTATAGTTGAAAGTGTCCGAATGGGCGATACCCTAAGCCCTACGCTGTTGTTATATGATCAATATTTACGTTATTTAAGCTATGCTGGCCTGAAAGATCGAAAATTACGAGAGATCCAGATCACTGCGTTCATATGAGCTGAGGAACAGAGGCACGAGCAAAGGGACGAACAGACGGACGGGCAAGCAGATATACGGTCATACATACATACAATGTAGCTTAGGTAGAACCAGCTCGTGGTCCGTATCAAAACTATATAAGCATTATGAGATCTGACATGACTTCTGCCTGTCTAAATATCCTGAGTTCCCATTTTAATGGGGGACTAAATACATATCCCAAGGAAATATTACAATATTATACTTTCGCTAAGCCTTAGAACTTTCGTTAATTACACTCTTGCATCTACTTAGAAGCACCTTCTTTAAATTTTTAAAATTAAATTTTTCCAATTTTGCTCTTTCTGCAGATGCTGAGGTGTACTTGGTAAGCGTCTGGGTAGCCATAAATTGAAGTCAACTGCATAATCTAAATTGATCGCTAAAGAAGAAGAAGAGGTAGAAGAGAAGTTGAAGATGGCGCTACGTTTGCGTCGGGACGTACAGAAGGCCTCCTACTATGTGTGGTTCCTGGGCGCCGAGGAGGCGAAGGGATTGCGGGGCGCCCGCGTCATTAACTCAGTGCTGCCGTATCTGGTGGACAGATCACGGGGCCAGGAGCCGCTCAAGGTGACGCTCCAGGTCTCGCACAAAGGCATCAAAATCGTGCAGGTAAGTGCTGAGCATACGCCACACCCCAAAAAAAAAAAAAAAAAAAAAAAAAAAACAGACACATACACAGACACACACTCATACACACCCGCACACACACACACACCTTCTACAAAACATTCCTCTATGTTGTCGTTTGTTGGAAACAGGGCTCGTCGAAGCATTTAATACCACACAGTGCCATAACCAGCTCCGTGCAAACCGATGACATCGTTGCCTGTGTTTTGCTCCTCTACAATCCGGCCACCAAATGCCCCTTGCATGTGCACGCCTACCGTTGCGACTCGGAGACAACGGCCGAGGCGTTGCACCTACAACTACAAATCCTAATCAATCGGCCCGACAATCAGAAGCGCTTTGAGGAGCTCGAGACCAGGTTAGTTTCGAGCTGAATGTTATAGTACAATATATTACATTATTATTTATCTATGGCCTTGGCCTGTGGCTAAGGCACAAATTTGTATATCCATATCGCGTCCAACTCTAAATTTACTTTTTTTACGCTCTAATGCACAGAACCTCATGCTGTGATCCCCAATTCAAATTTCATTTTAAATTCAAAAAAGCATATGACTTATTTCATAATATAAACAACATTATATAGGGAATCCCAATAAATGAGAGATAATATATGATAATCGGAATAACAATCGCAAAAGCTCATGATTTACTTTCAAATCGCAAAAGCTCGTGATTCCCAACTCTGATTATTGTTTATGAAATCGTAAAAGCTTCAATTTGCTGCCTCAACTTCCCTTTTAAAGTACAAATGCTTGCAATGAAACTCTTAGTACAGAACAATTTTGCAGATGTTTATGGAATTTTTTTCTTTAATCGAAAAGAGCTCATAAGTTTCAATAGTCAATAATATTTACGATTATATTCAATATCAATATCTATATAACTTACAAAATTCCAATATATACAATAGGACAAATTAAAATTTTTTAAAATAAATTTGTATCTTTTATTCTTTTAATATAAGTAGATCTGTTAAGAGCTTTCATCTTATGAAGATTTCTTCAAGAGAGAATCGTTTGAGTCTTCCCATCATCTTAATGTTATGCTATGTAAATGAAGCTCTGCTTTCGAAATCTAACATAAATTGTGTGTGGAAAGGCAAGAATTTCGAGTTTGCGCTGGACTTAGAGAGAATCTTTGAGTATTTGCTGGAGAATTAGATTTGAAACAAGGGAGATATAATATATGTACATACATGTATGGTATAGTATATGCACGTTGTTCTGGAGCTCGTGGGAAAGCCAGCTGCAAGTGCAGTGGCATCTCGGTGTCGTTATCATGAGTAGCAAATGAAACGATCTCCCGCAACGGGCAGAGATCGGATAATAGATTGTCTAAATGTCTAAATGTCTAAGTGGGCAGAGTTGGCTGCTTGGGTGCCAGTCGGTTGGTTTGCTGCTTGCTGCTCGCTGCTTGCTGCTTGCTGCTTGCCACTTTGTTTCCTGCTTGTCGGGCCGCAATTAATTTCAGCTTTGCGGTAAATTGTAGAAGATCCCCACATAGCCGAAATGTGAAGATGCCATGAGAAAGCGTTTTCGAGGCGGCAGCAACTCGAGCCACTGAGGCAACTGAACTCTGTGCGAGTCGACGCTGCTCGATGGGTGGCAAATGCCGAACTTGAGCAAAGATCAAAGCGTTTCACATGTGCGAAGTCCTATTTAATTTTCATGCGACTAGCCAGCATTTTTGAGTGATGTAGAAATCTGCTGGAAAATCTATGCCAAATAAAAAATGGTGCTAAGTTAGTTACTTAGAGAGCCGAATTATCGTATTGAATTTTAAAAATTTTGTAAAATAGTAGCTAGAAAATTCATTTTCATATTAATGTATTGATATAAAGTTTTTTTTTTTTTTTAATTTAAATTTTACTATGAATAATTATATTTTATTTCCACTTTTAATGGTATTTAAGATGATAATGCTGTATATGGCTCAACATAAGGGAATAAGAAAAAAAAAAATTATATAAATTTAGTAATATTTTACCCAGCTTAAAATAGTTATTTCATCTATCTGCCTATCGATGAGAAAAGTGAGTCATGAAGTCCTTTAAGTAAAGTGAGAAATATTCATAAAATATATTTAGAAAGCTAAAATCGATAGAGCTGAGTATAAGTATGTACGAGTGGGTATAAGACTATACATCAGTATACGATAATCCACACTCCAAAGTGCCGCAGCTAAGAATCACTCTGAGTGGACGCCCTCCTAACCTTATCTTCTCCTTTGAAGCTATCGCACTCATTTCTGTTCCTCTCAATGCTGTGATCCCCTCCAATACTTCTAGACTTTACCTTTCGCTGTCTATCCAAGATTTCTCCGCAAGCGCGCAGCATCTTTTGTATTGTCTTTGTATTTGTCACAGCATTTAAATAGGTAATTAATAGACCGAATGAGACATTCGTAAATGATTGACCCTAGAGCTGGTTCGACATCTTCTAGCAGCCAGTTTTCACAAAAGATTTTCTAAAATTTTCAAGTTTTCTCTTTATAGATACTACGTCATAAATTACCAAAACAAAAACCAATAATAAAAAATAAATAAATTCAAATAAATTCAAATATGCTTTCAGCTGTGTGAACTATACCAAACCAACAAAAATTTATTTTCTTTAATTTGATTTCATATGAATACGAATCGCATATGCTCATATATACATATGTGTATGTGTACATATATATGTCTATGTATACTTGTATATCAGTGTATACATACAGCCTTACCTAACTTACCTTACTCATTGCCTGTTTTATCTTTTCACCTTGCAGATTGGGCATTTTGCCACCGCTGCCCGCTGGCGGGCCTCTGGGTCACAATGGAGGCAGCAGCAGCAGCAGCCACAGCGGCGGCGACAAGCGCCACGATTCTGGCCACAAGTCGTCGCACCATCAGTCACAACAGCAGCTGCACTCGAGCGGCGGCTATTCGCAGCAGCAGCAGCGCCGCCACGAAACGTCGCCGAAGCGCTTCAGCAGCTCCTTGGGCAGCGACACGGGCAATAGCACGCGGGAGTCCGAGTGCAGCGAGGAGCACGGCCTGGCCGGCTCACCAGTCTCCCGCTCGCCGCCACATGGCGGCAGCAGCAGCAGCACCGGCAAGCATCACCACGGTTCGCATCATCCACATGGCCTTCCGCACGGCCATCCGCCACTGACGCCACAGCAGAACAGCGATCTGTTCGACTCGCTGGCCGCCGAGCTGCGCGCCAAGCTGAATGGGAACGGACCGCCGTTGCTGTTGCCGCCGCGCGACTACGACACAGTGCATCGCTCCAAGGGCAATCTAACGGCAATCGAGCTGCGACGCTGTCGCAATGCGCTCATTGTGGGCGGCGCGGGCACGCCCAAGGGCCAGGTGTCGCCTGGCACAGGACCAGCAGCACCAGTGAGCGCTGTGCCCGCCACGACGGCCAATGGCAAGCAGGTCTCGTCGCGCGGCTCCTCGGGCATTGGATCGGATCTGGCGCCCAGTCCGGAGCGACAGGAGCTGAATAGCTCAAGTGGTATGTTGGCTATAGATCTATGTACATGCATATATGTGCATGCAGCTTGTTAACAGAGATTTCACTGTACATACATACAGTGAGACCTGCCTTGAAAGGACAGCCAAACTTCTATTTAAGCTCTATGGCCAAGGGAAGTTGTCGACTTCATTAAAGCTGTCCTTCAAGGCCAACTTCACTGTATATGCATATCCATATCCATATCCATATTCATATCCATATCCATATCCATATCCATATCCATATCCATATCCATATCCATATCCATATCCATATCCGTATCCATATCCATTTCCATATGTATATCCACATCCATATCCATATTCATATCCATATCCAAATTCATATCCAAATCCGTATCCATATCCATAAATGACATATCCATGGATATCCATATCCATAAATGACATATCCATGGATATCCATATCCATATCTATATCTATGTTCATAAATGACATATTTATGGATATCCATATCCATATCTATATCCATACCCATTTCCATATCCATATCTATGTTGATAAATGACATATACATGGATATCCATATCCATATCTATATACAACACATCCACCCTTTCCATATTCATATCCATACTAAAATATCCTTGGAACTACCGTATGCATATTGATAATATCCATAATATGGATTCCATATCTATATCCACTTCCATCTTGAACTTATCCAATCCACCATTTCACATTGCAGACGACGAGCACTGGTCGAATGAGGCGGACAACTCGGTGATTGCGCTGAAGCCGTCACAAATCGCGCTCTCCCATCATGCGCAGCTGAAGCGTAAGAGCGCTGTGCAGCCGCCGGAGGATAGCTATCTGCGGGATCTGCCGGCCAAGCCGTATGTGCCGAGGCAGAGCGAACGCGTCAAGACGCCGGCAGCGCCATCGAACAGCAAGTCGTGGTCGCGCGAGGACGAGATCAAGCCGATCATCATGCGACCCGCTGACTACGATGCGAAATTCAATCGGGTGATGCAGCTGGAGCCGCAGCCGGCCAAGCATGAGGCGGCGGCCAAGCTGCGCGACACCGACAAATACAACGAGATCAATCGCTTGCTGAACAAGAAGCTGTCCGGCCACGATCGGGATCGGCTCAAGGAGCGTTCACTGCACGACGACGATCTGGACGACTTCGATGACTCGGATCCGTGCAGTGACCCGCCGCAGAAGCCGCTGCCCGTTGCCAGCTATCGCAAGGAGAACCTGACGGACAAGCAAAAGTTCATGGAATACGCGTCCAAGAAGCAGCAGCAGCAGCAGCAGCAGCAGCTCAAGTCCTACGCAGCCGAGGAGGCGCAGCGCTATGGCGGCAGTCGCCATCGCTATGTGGATCCCGCCGAGCTGCCGTTCGAGCAGCTGCCGCCAGTGCCGGCGCACAACAAATATGCGGCCGTGCATCGCGGCGCAGAGCCGACGCGCAGCAGCAACAGCGTCGGCGGCGGCAGCAGCAGCCACATCAACGGCAGCAATCCAGATCGACTACGGGAGCGCCATGACAGAGACAGAGAGCGCGATAGAGAGCGAGAGCGGGAGAGGGAGAGGGAAAGGGAGCGCGATAGAGATCACGAACATTCCAGGGATCGCAATCCATACCGCGAGGCAGAGAGCCTGCCCTACATCCAGAGCATGGAGAAGATGATGAAGTCGACGGGCATGCGCTACGGCGAGGAGCCGCCACGCAAGCCCAGCAGCCGGGATAGCCGCGACTACGTGCGGGAGTATCCGGCTGCGGCCAGCAGTCAGGTGTCGCCGAGCGATCGCTTCCACGATGCCAAGGACAAGTTCCGGGCCATGGAGCGCACCGGCGGCAGTCGCTATGACCTGGACGAGCGCGACAGCGGCAACGGAGTCGCACCGGTGGCGCCCACAGCCGACTACAGATCATCGTCGCGTCGGCGACGCGGCTCCGTGGAGCCGCCCAGCTACGATCAGTGGAGCGACGAGGAGGAGGAGCCCGAGCAGCAGCTGCCCGTGCCAGTGCAGCAGCCGGAGCCGATGATGAGTCGTTCGCGTGCTCGCTCGCGCGACCACTGGGAACAAGAGCAGCAGCATCACGTCAGCAATGGTGGCAACATGCGCCACGGCCATGAGCGGGAGCGGCGCGAGCGGGACTATCCCATGCGACGCGGCGACGATATGCGAGAGCCGCCACACGATGGCTATCGTCTGGAACGCGAGAGGGAAAGGGAGCGGGAGCGTGAGCGTGAGCGAGAGAGAGAAAGGGAGCGGGAGAGGGAGCGAGAGCGAGAGCGTGAGCGTGAACGGGACCGAGATCGAGAGCGAGAACGGGATCGCCATCAGTCGCAGTCGCGCCATCAGATGCGGGCACGCTCGCGAGAGTACATGCAGCCGACGGAGTCGGTGCCGCCCGTGGCCAAGTCCAGTTCGTCGCGCCTAAGCCATCATGCCGAGCGCTATCCGTCGCCGGCGCCGACGCCCAACAGCGGCAACAGCGGCAGCTCCAGCTCGGGCAAGCCGCTGGCCAGCATGCCCAAGGGCTATCGGCACAGCTATGCGGAGCCCGTGTTCGCGCGCTCCGGCGGACGCGTGGGCCTCGCTGCAGTCAATCCCTACTGATAACAAACGACAACAGCAACAACAACGACAACAATAATATTGCTTAATGAACATACTCAATAACTGTACATTACACACACACACAGACACACTCACACAAACACACACAAAAGTGGGCGAATCCCCATGCGGGGGGATGAGCAGCAGCCACGATCCAAGCGCCACAAAGCAGCGGGGCACCAAGTGCTTCGGCGGTCAGCGCCTGTAATTATGTGCCTTCAAAATATGTTTTATATCAGTGCAGATGCATGTATATACATATACATATATACGTACACATATACATATGTATCCATGTATATCGATGACTATATAATGCATGTATATTTTTTATTTAGCTAAACAAAAGAAAACAAAAACAAAAACAAAAAACGAAACGCGAACAATCACAGTTGATATATGCATTTTTTTTTTTTCATAGCCCTAAGTCGTGCGGTTGGTTGATATATAAATATATGATATATTTACATATATATGTATACTATACACATATATATGTATACTTTTTTTTTGTAATCAACTTAATATTCGATACGTGTATGCATAATAAACGTATATAGCTGATGTATCTATTGTTATCAATTTGATATTTACATTAATAAAGCGCTAGAAAAAAATCTAACTTAATCTTTTAATTTGTATGCAAATCAAATATGAATTGTTTACATTATGAACTTGAAAGTTTATAATGCGATCGAGCATTTTTTTTACTTATGATCAAATTCAAATGTGCCGCGCTTTGGTATTTGTTTTTTGCAACAGCGCCATCTATGGTCACTTTGCGTACAGCTTGACCGTAAATCAACTCTGCGCTGTGTGGCGGCATGTCGATAACAGCTAACAGGCACGATCAGTTAACCCGAATGTGCAAGGCATATTTGCCGTTGGGCGTCTGCCTTAACGTAATTATTTGGCTTCATTGATTCTCAATTAATTATTTTACATTATTAATTGAGCATTTTATATTATTTTATACAATTTTTTATCTATTTGGTTTTTTTTTAATGATTTAAAGCCAGCTACGAATGACCAATCGGTCAAAACTATATTTAATAGAAGACAATATATTTCGCTTTTATATCCATGTATCCGAATCGGTCAAAATAGATTTACACCACGACTTTGATCTATCAATAAGTATAAAGATTCCACCAGAACATACCGATCAATCTCCCCATACCTTTTTACATCCGCCAAATTCAACTTTTACAACGAAAATTTGAAAACATCTTTAATCTTAAGGACTAACCACATTTATTCCTTAACACATTCTATACAAATTTCATCGATTTTTGTTTTGTTTTACATTTTATTGTTTAATTTAAAAACTCTTTGTTTGGTTTTCACAATAGTTTTTGTTTTTTGTAGATTTTTTCAAAACAAAAATAAAGAAGAAAAATATAGTTTAGTTAATATATTTTTATCCTTTCTCTCTCACTTGTGTTTTTTTTTCATTCTTGTTGTTGTTTGTTTTATTTTTTTTTTTTTTTTTTTTTTGTAATAATATTAATTAAAAATATTGGTTTTCGTTTTGTTTTTGTTTTTCTTTCGCAAGTTAATTTAAGAAACAATTAATCAAGTTCTTATTTAATTATACAAATTTTAAAAAAATAGTAATTATATAATAATAAAAATAATATTTATAACGGGGAAAATGCAAATAGCTCTTCTTCATGCTGTTGTTGTTGTTGTTGTTGATTTCTCAAGTTGCTATTGTTGTTTGTTGTTGTTGTAGCTAGTATAGTTTGTTGTTTCTCTCATTTTGATGCGCGCAAAGAAAATATGTTGTAGGTGAGGGGCGTGTGGGGCGGGGCATTTACGACCAATTGAAAATATTGATAAACTAAGAGCGAATAATGGAAGTCAGGATTCCGTTAGATTGATTGTGTGATTGTCGTTCAACACTTGAATGTCAAAACCATTTTCATTTATTTTCTTTTAACTAATACTCTCCATAAATACACACATATTATTTCCCGTCCTCCACTTCTTCATCTATACTAAAGGTCAATTAAAAAAAAAAAAAATTTAAACAAAAGCTGCAAAAATGCTCGGCCAGTTGGCCTGCATCCATATATCAATTGAATTGGTAGTTGGCTATTGGGGAGTGGTAGGTGGCGCGCTGCGTCGAATTTCATGGTGGTTAGATTGGCTTGGGATATAGGATATAGATAGTTCCATGTGTGGGGCGTGGCGAGCGCTTTACATGTTCTCAAACTGATCGACGCGACGCTTTGTGTTGCCCTTGCGGATCTCGCGCAACGTCTTGTACTTGTCGCGTCCCTGGCGCACATTTTCGCGATGAATCTTATCGTTGGCCGTCTCTTTCGTTTCGTCGCGTGACTGCGCCAGGTCTTGCTTCAGGGCCTGCAAATAAGCGAGAGAGCGAGAGAGAGTTCGAATTAGAAAGAGAAGGGGATAGATAGAGAGCACACAAGTAAATATATTGAAGTATGATGTATAAGAAAATAACTCGACTCTTTATGTTGAATCACGACTATTCAAATATTTCGGTAACTACAATTGTAGAATGTATAACTATTTGGAACTCAACATATATGTTTATCTATGACTTGGTAAACTATGAAACATAACTAAAAGTATTCAGTATATAGGCTAACAATATTGATATATATCTCAATTTCTACAAATACACATGATATTATATGTAGATGTAGAAATGTGTTTTAACGTTATCTACCCTTTACACCTTCTGTATTAAACACATATAGAACATTTGACAACAAAATATTTGTTTTACACATAATATGAAGAATGCAATGGAAGCTTTTTAAACTAGGTACATTCTGCTACATTCTTGAAATTCTTATCTATAACATCTGACATATGAAGAGCATACTCAATATTTTTCTTTATGTTGTCTGTTGTTGGTTTTGCCACATAAGCCGAAAGCTTTTTGTCATGCCAATTATACAAAAAATGGTTGCTACAAAATAACTACATTGTCTGATAAGATAAATAAACAAAGTGCTTACTGCGCCCACATAAACAAAACAAAACCAAAGAAAATACAAAAAAACCCAAGCCTGTTATCTGCATATTTTAAGAAAGCTATCTAAGGAGGTTATCTCTAGTGGGGTGCGTAGCATATTCGCTCTATCTCTAATGTTTGCACGCACCTTAAGCTGATCGTGCAAGCGCTCGTTGCGCTCGGCCAGCGTGCGTCTGTCCTCGATGGGATCCTTGATATGCTCGTCTGTGTCCAAGTCGCGCGACACATCGCCGCCGGCATCGCCATTCGTCAGCTCCTCCTCGTTCTCGTTCTCATCCTCGGCCACGTGATGGTGTTGCGGCGTGGTGGATGCCGCCAACAGCGCAGCAGCAGCTTCGGCCTGGAAGATTACATAGATAAATAGATAAATAATGCCGATGGAGAAGGGGGGTATAGACTGAATTAACCTGCTTGCGGCGTGCCTCCTCGACCTCGTCTTGCAGGCGCTTGGTCTCTTCGTCCTTGGCATTGACTTCGTCCTGAATGCGTTGCACCTCCTGTTGCTTAGCCATGATCTCCTCCTCCAGCTTGGCCTTCTCGACGGCCTCCATATTCTTGGCCTCCTCCAAGCGCTGCAGCATCGATTGCAGCTCCTTCTGGCGCAGCTCAAGCTCATCCTTGGCGGCCTGCAGCTGCTTCAGCTGCTCCTCCAATCGCCGTATCATCTCCTGTGCCTCAAGCAGATCACGCTGCGAGCGCTCCATCTCCTCTTGCATTTGCTTGAGTCGATCCTCATACTCCTGCTGCTTCTTCTCGGCACGCTCACGTGCTGCCAGCGCCAGCTGCAGCTTCTCACTGTGGAGGAATTTATCAGATATTAGAGAACAGACTTTGGAAAAGTAAATCTCATCAGACTTACCGCTCCTGCTGTTTGGCGTTCTTCTCTTCGCGCGCCTGGGCCTTCATTTGCTGCACATCGATCGTGTCGGGCTTGCGACGACGCATGTAGAGCTCATGGTTGCCCATGCAGAGGGCCAGGATGCGCTTGTTGATGCGAACGCGCGGCGCAAAGAACATAAAGTCCGGCGCCTTCTTGTCAATTGGCTTGATGATGAACTTCTTCTCAGAGAACGAAATGTTACGGATCTCGGACCAGGGGAAGCCGATTTTGGGCGTTAGTCGATCGTCCTGCTCGTAAATGTTCAGGCCGAGCGCATCGACGCCCAACCAGAGGTCGGTGCCCTTCTTGTTGCGTATCTCGAAATAGTTAACGCCATACATCTCCAGATCCTGGGCAATCTTCAGATACTCCATCATGGCATCCTCGCGCAGCATGCTGCGATGCTCCTGCCACCAGGTCATTATCGACTGCTCCCATTCGTCCTTGGACATCTTGTGCTGATCGATGACGCGCTGTGGCAACAGGCGATCGTTCGCTAGGAAACCGGCTGTGTGAGTGGTTTTATTGTGATCGCCATGGCGCGCCTGCACCGCATAGGAGGCCAGCAGCACCGACGTCTCCGGCGGGCAGTAGATCTCATCGGTCAATATGGCATTCTTCACTTGCAGATAGAACAGGCGCAGTGTGATGTCCTGTATGAGCTCCTCGGCCACATCCTCCGGATAGAATTTGGCACGGAATCTGAATTGCAACGGATTCTCCTTTTTCACATCCTGATTCATGACCTAAACACACGAATGACAATAACATAGATTAATATACAGGCAATATTGATGCATTCTCTTATTCATTAAACATATTTCATATATTATTTGGCACATTATGGGTTACCCATGTTGAGAACGGCATTGATCCAGTCTGTGCGATTTGGTTTGTGCAATCGTTTCAAATGTGTGCAGCATGTTTCAATAGAGAATCAATCAGAGATCAATGATAATAATTATACATATATTCAGTTTTATTCGTATTCGTTCGACAACTCTACAGAGCTGGGACAGGAGGGATCGTTGTTGGCATGCAGGGTTGACTCTACAGACAAACTACATTCAGTCATAGATTATGGGAACGTCAACTAAAACCTTAAGCTAGACCTAGACCTAGCTGGGAAAAGGGTTTAGCTAAGGCCACAAATAGCAATAAACATTTGTTGGGAATTGATTGATTGGTTTTGGCTTTGAGATGTCGCCCACCATATCGTCGGCATCATCATCTTCCTCGCTCTCGTCCGTCTGATTGTGTCCATTGCTATCAGCGGTCTTTTTGTCCACATATTTCTTAACACGTTTCAAATATTTAATGGTCTTTATGGCCGGCGATTCTGGCTAAACAATACAATACGTAACACCTCATTATTCTCTAAGCAGTTAACAATATGCTCGAGGCGTATTAGAAACTTTGGCATATATAATCATTTGCATATTTGGTATACAGTTATGTATATGTGTAATGCTTACCTTTTTGTATAGCTTAATCCATGTGGAGTCACCCTTTGAGTCGGTGTACTGCAGACCAAAGAACCAAACCTCACGCAATCCAATCGTCTTGACCACCTGATCGAACAGTTGTTTACCGGTCGTTGTCGACTGAATGGCAAACTCCAGTTCAGCGTCCATTGTTGTGACGCGCACATTTAGCTACAAGTAGGAAGAGAATTTATATACAAATTAAAATTCATTGCATAAGCTAAGAGATCGTTTATATTTGACTA